AAGATTATAAGATACAGAAAAGGTGCTGACATGATGAAATCATAGGCCCTGTCCCTATCTCTATCTCTCTCCCATACTTAAGGAACATCTGTCTGGGTCTGGAGACAGGGAGAGTAAATTTGCTGACCTTGGGAAGGCAGGGGTCAACCAGCTATGAAAGGATTCTTTAAAGTGACAAGAAAGAGGTTGACCTTGTATCTTCAAAGGTGAATGAAGGACAGGCAGACTGACAGAGCTGCACATGGGTGGGCAGTGGGGAAGCTCTCGCCAGGTTCTAAGCGTTTCCTTCTGCTCCCATCACTTGTGGTGTCTGAATGAGAGGGTCGTGATACCGGCCAAGGAATGTTTCTGAATGTATTTTTATCTTAAGAACATCCCTTCCCCAGAAGAGGAGGCAGTGGGGGCAGGATGTCCCTGGCCTTGTTCCACTTCTGGGCTGGGTGTTGGGGAGAACATAGAGGAGCCAGGATCTCAGAACAAGCCCCTGAATCAGGACTGGTCACAAGCACTGTCCTCCCTTTCGCAGACCCATCCATGAGATCAATTTCTTTGCTAGTCCTGATGAAATTAACAGGGAGCTTTTGTTCTCCAGGGGAGGCTAGGAAGTCCACAGACAGCTAGAGGGTGACCCAGTTCCCAAGGGGCTCATTTAAAAGCAACCCCATCTTGATAGAGCGGACTAAACATCAGAAGTCTTGGGCTCTAGTCCCAACTTGACCAGTAATTCACCATTAGTAGCTTCAGTGTGATATAATGGAAAGAGAATTGAATTTAGTTAGAGGTCCTGGGTTAGAATCCCAAATCTGTTACTAACTAAGCTGTGTGACCTTGGGAAAATTTCTTAACGTCTCTAATTTTTAGTTTCCTCCTCTGTAAAATGGGGGAATTGGGTAAGATTCCGCTAAGGTCTCTTCAAGCTCACTGAGACTCTGTTTCCTCATTTGGCAAATGGGAACGATCAATCAACAAACATTTATTGGACATCTAATGTCAGGCACTATACTTCCCCCTGCAGATAAAAGACAAAAGTGAAACAGTCTCTACCCTCAAGGAACTTACATTTTAATGGGGAGAGAAAATCTGCGTATAAGCACACAGATTTATACACATATGCAGGGAGATAACATTTATATATAATATATATGTGTATGTATATATATCTGTGTATGTGTGTGTGTGTGTGTGTGTGTGTGTGTACAATGTATCTGTATGAGCAGCTAGGTAGCACAGTGGATATAGTGCCTGGCGTAGAGTCAGGAAGACTCACTTCCTGAGTTCAAATCTGGCCTCAGACACTTACTAGCCATGTGACCCCGGGCAAGTCACTTAACCCTGTCTGCCTCAGTTTCCTCATCTGTCAAATGAGCTGGAGAAGGAAATGGCAAACCATTCCGGGATCTTTGCCAAGAAAACCCCAAATGGGGTCACAAAGAGTTGGACATGACTGAACAATAACAAAATATACAGAATGTATCTAAAAACTGTATATAATTTATAAATATACAATTTTACAAAAATTGTACAGTCTGCAATACAAATTATAATTATGTTGTATATAAATTTATATGCTGCAAATATTCAAATAGACAATTTGCATCCAAAACTATATAGAAGGTTGCCCTATCTCTCTGAAAGAGGTGCTTAGGGGGCTCAAAAAAGATCACGAGTATGGTGTTACTGTTCATGTCTTAGTGCAATGGAAAGAATGCTGAACTGAGTCACAGAGCCTGAGTTCAAATCCCAGTTCTTCTACTCACTGCCTATGTGACCTGGGTAAATTATTTAACCTGCCTGGTCCTCAGTTTCCCAATCAGTAAAATGTGAGGGTTGGACTTTAACACTTCTTAAACTGTGGGTCACGACACCATATGGGATCACGAAAAATTTGGCAACAGGAAAAGGTTTCCGAACACACAATGACCAAAAATTAATTCAAAATCAAACACCTAATGAATCCGAGGTGTTTCTGGCAGCGCTTGCCCGTGTTGCATCCTGCAACTTCACTGCAGCCTAGGTTCTGAACACAGAGCATGCGCGCTTTGCACTTCACACGCCCTCTGGCCGCGCAACGCAAGGAACGCCGCTGAAAGGGGGAAGGAATGGCAGCGGAAAAAGTTTAAGAAGCCCTGGACCAGGTGACCTGAGTGCCTCTCTGGCTCTCGAGCTAGGATCCTGTGATCTTCATAATAATTCATATTTCTATAACGCTTTAAGGTAGGCAAAGTACCTTTCCTCACAACAGCTCTGTAGATAGGCAGTACGGGGACCATCATCCCCATAATTCAGATGAAGAAACTGAGCCTCAGAATAGTTGAGCGACTTGCACAGCCACATAACTAGGAAATACCGCAGTTGGGGTCTGAACCCAGCTCCCCTACCTCTGTTCTTTCCACGTTGCCAGGCTGTCTCTCGAAGCAGCCTTTCTCCATGTGAGCTTTCGAGCAGAAGGTCCCTGATCTGGCCTCCCCGGTCCCCAAATCTGTGCCCCACCTGTTCCCTGTTGCCTGAGATCCTTTTACTAAGAGACAGAGTTTTTCATCACACATTGAGGGCTGAGGCTTCAGCTGCAGGACCTCCTTAAGAGAAAGTACCACAACCAACAAGCTGCACCAACGGGGTCGCGACGGACAGCCAGCGGCAAAAGGAAGTCAGCAAGTGGGCACTGATGAGGTCCTTGAAGGAAGTGGAGGAGAGGAAGGGCGAAGTATGCAGAAAGTGGGGCGTGAAGACAAATTTCTTCTTTTGTGATTCTGTTGCCTGTGGGTACTGATAGTTTTACTGTATAACATTTGATTATTTCTCAGCTCTTGATGCTTATTAGCCATGTCTTCAATGGCAAGTCCCTTCCTGAGTCTGAGACTATTTTTGACCCTGCAAAATTCGAGGTTGGGCTAGAGATGAGTTCTAAGTTCTGAGGACCTGGGTTCAAATTTTGATTCCGCCACTTATTCCTTGTATGATTTTGAGCATGTCACTTCATCCTTATGGGACTTAGTTTCCAAATCTGTAAAATGAGAGGCTTGTTAAAGTGCTATCCTTAGAGGGAGCTAACTCAGTGATAACAATATACCCCAAATAGATGAAAGAAAGGGGAAAAGGATCCACATGTATAAAAATATTTATTGCAGTTCTTTTTGTGGTGGCAAAGAATTAGAAACTTAAGGGGTATCCATCAGTTGGGGAATGGCTGAACAAGTTGTGGTTTATAAATGTGATGAAGTGCGATAAAAAATAGTGAAAAAGGTTTCAGAGAAGCCTAGGAAGAATCATATGAACTGATGTGAAGTGAACAGAACAATTTACATAAGGCCATCAGAGTAAAGACAAAGAATTTGTAAGAACACTGACCAACACAATCACTAACCACAACTTCAGAGGAATCATTATGAACATGCTGCCCACCTCCTGACAAGAGGTGATGGACTCAGAGTGCAGATGGAGACATGTGCACGTGCGCGCGCACACACACACATATATATGTGTAATTATTATATATAATATATTATAATATATAGCTATATGTTTTCTATATAATTATTATTATATATTGGGACAGCTAGGTGGCACAGTAGATATAGAGTGCCAGGCCTGGAGTCAGGAAGACTCCTCTTCCTGAGTTCAAATATGGCTTCAGACACTTACTAGCTGTGTGACCCTGGACAAGTCACTTGACCTGTTTGCCTCAGTTTCCTCATCTGTAAAATGAGCCAGAGAAGGAAATAGCAAACCGCTCCAGTATCTCTGCCAAGAAAACCTCAAATGGGGTCATGAAGAGTTGGACACAAGTGAAAAACAATCAAAAAAGTAAATTATCATATATTATGTATATCATATTATTATTATATGTTACTATTTATGTATATGGCCAATGTGGGACTTTTTTTGTTTGACTATATATTTGTGGCAGGGGTTTTGGTTTTTGGGGTAGGGTAGAGGAGAGGACGTAGGAGGGAAAGAAGGTGGATTTTTGTTGACTGAGAAAAATAAAAGTTTAATCAAAACAATTAGAAGCATCTAGGCCATGTAGTGGCTAAAGAGCTAGACTTGGAGTCGGAAAGACCTAAGCCCAAATCTTGCCTCAGACACTTATTAGCTGTATGACCCTGGACAAGTCACATAACCTTTCTTTTGCCCTCAAGTTCCTTATCTGTAAAATGGGGATTATAATAGCACCTACCCCACAGGGTTGTTGTGAAGAATAAATAAGATAATATTTGCAAAGGGCTTAGCAAACCTTAAAGTACTATATTTTTTGTTGTTGTTCAATTTCTTCTGACTCTTCATGACCCCATTTGGGGTTTTCTTGGCAAAGATACTAGAGTAGTTTGCCATTTCCTTCTCCAGTTCATTTTACAGATGAGGAAACTGAGGAAAACAGAGTGAGGTGACTTGTCCAGGGTCACACTGCTAGTGTCTGAGGCTGGATTTGAACTCAGGCTTGCCTGACTCCAGGCCCAGTGCTCTCTATCCACTGCACCATCTAGCTGCCCGAAGTACAATATAGATGCTAACTATTATTATCATCATCATTCCCATTTCCCTGGTAAGAATTCTTAAGCATAAGCCGAGAAACAACTGCCAATGGTTTATTTGGTCTCCCTACCACTAAATCCCTAAAGCCCAAAGTTTAAGGTGCATTTGATATAAGGTCCTCAGCTCAGTACAGCTTTGTGGTACCCACCATGCCAGCCCTGCCCTGCCCCTCATTGTCCAAGCTCCAGCAAATTGTGTCAGCCCACCCGGCGTTTCAGTGTGGCCTTTAAATATATATTTATTGTTCAGGTCTAGAAAATGATTTCTCTATTTTGCCTTGTCACCTACAGGCCAGCTATGGAGTCCTTTAGGCCTCTGACCACTGCTTTCCCTGAGCCTCAGTGAACCAAGCAGGCGTGACTGAAGTCTGAGACTTCTTTGATTAGAGTCCTCTGGACTAAGCACTGTCGAGTTCCAGACACACATTAAAAACTAATGGTTTCCACTGTCACCCTTTGTCCAGAGTCCCTCCCTCCCCATCCTCCTCGTCCTGGCCCCCACATATTTCTCCCAGAGTCGAATAGAAATCTAATTCTAGAAGAAGAAAGCCGGGTTATCCTTTTAAATGTCAGGTGGGCTGCATTTTCACATCTGTTCTGGACCCCAAGTCCAAAGGCCAGTGGGGCTCCCCTTAAATCAATGGACAGAACTATATGGATTGCCTACTACGTAGATAGTACATTAAGAGGGGCAAGTAGGAAGAGCACTGGATTGCTGAATTTGGTGTAAAAAGACCTGATCCCAAGTCTGCTACTTAATACCTTTACGGCCAAGGGTAAGTCACCCTCTGTGCCTCAGTTTTCTCATCTCATCCATAAAGGGAAAGGGGCAGAATTAGACTAGATGAACCCTCAGGTACCTTCTAACTCTCAAACTAAGATCCTATGAGCTGGGTCCCAGCTTAGCCTCACAGCTCTGAGCTGGAAGGGGCCTCAGAGCCCCCATCATTTTACAGATGATGAAGCTGAGTCACAAAGTGGTTGTGACTTGCCCAAGGTCACAAAAATGGCAGAACTAGTTTTTGAGCCCAGGCCCCCTGCCTCGAAAGCCAGTGTTCTTGCCACTGTGCCAAGTTATATAACCTGTGGCAAATCACTTTGCCTCTCCTTGCCTCAGTTTTCCCTTCTGTAAATTGAGGAGAGTTGAACTTAGGTGGGTTGTTGTTATTGTTGTTGCTCTAAATCTGTGATCCTACGGCCCAGGTCCCAGCTCCAACATTTAACAAACTAGGTAAATCTTGAACTGGGGCAGACTAGGTGGTACAGAGGATAGAGTGCCAGGCCTGGAGTCAGAGAGACTCATCTTCCTGAGTTCAGATCTGGCCTCAGATACTTACTAGCTGTGTGATCCTGGGTAAATCACTTAATCCCTTTTGCCTCAGTTTCCACACTTGTAAAATGAGCTGGAGAAGGAAATGGCAAATTACTACAGTATCTTTACCAAGAAAACCCCAAATGGGGTCACAGAGAGTTAGACGTGACAGCACCCACAACAAGGCACCACATTTTAGAAAGACCTTTGACAAATTGGAGACCCTCCAGAAGAAGGGCAATGAGAATGGTAAAGGACCTCAAGACCCTGCCCTAGGAAGGTTACTTAAAGGAGTCAAAGATGTTTGGCCTGGAAAAAGAGAAGACTTGGAGGGAGATAGAATACCTGCTTTCAAGCATCTGAAGGGAATAAGAAGTAGACCAGAGTGAAGAGGTTTAGATTGGATCATTCCCATTTCACAGATGAGGACCATAAGACACAGTAATCAAGTAACTAACTCAAGGTCACCTAGCAAGTTAGAGGCAGAGCTGGGACTAGAATTTGGGTTTAAAGGCTCCTTTCCCTATTCCACATTTGTTTGGCTTGGGATATAAGGATATAAGGACTCCTTTCTATTCCTAGGTAGCTGATGGCACAGTGGATATAGAGTTAGGTCTGGAGTCAGAAAGACTTGAGTTCAAATATGGCCTCAGATACTTACTAGCAGTGTGACTCTGGGTAAGTCACTTGACCTTGTTTGCCTCAGTTTCCTCATCTGTAAAATAAGCTGAAGAAGAAAATATAATTGGGACCTAGGCTAGCATGGCATCTAAACACCAGAGAGGAGTTTGTATTTTATCATATAAAGCTTCTTGAGTAGGGCAATGACAGAGTCAGATCTGGGTTCTAGGAAAATCAACTTGGCAACTATATGGAGATGGATTTGTGAGGGCAGAGACTTGAAGCCCTGTGTGACCCAAGTTGCTGGCTTCTCTGGGTCTCCATCTTTCATATGTAAATGGGGGATAATAATTCTTTGCCTTGCCTCTCTTACGTGGGTATTGAGAGGATCAAATAAGGTTGTACATGTGAAACCACTCTGAAAAGTATAAATTGTTACATATGTGTATCATGGGATTTAAAAATAATTATTATAATCTTACAGCAATACTGGGGTGGGGAGGTTGGAAGAATGGAAAAAAGGGTATCAGAAAGAAAATTGGCTTTGGTATATACAGCCTGGCGATAAACCCTAGAGATTCTTCTCCCACCCCCACCCCCAAGCTGTGGAGGCTCAGAGAAGAGGATTTCTCCTAAGCCCTTTCCACCTGGGAAAAGCACACAGAGTCTAGGCTGTGCACAGACCTCAGGGCAAACGAATGGCCTGCTTTCCTTGCTGGCCTCTGGTCCATAATTCTTGGTGTTCAGAAACCCAGCTCATCATCATCTCTCTCCCTCCTCATCTCCCACAAAGCTGCTCCCCTTCCCGTCTTTCCTATTTCTGTCAATGGCACCATCGGTGACCCAGCCTGGAAAACAGGTAGTAATCCTTGACCCCTCCCTATCCTTGACATTTAGATTCAGTCTGTCATCAAGTCCTAACCTTCCTTAATAATGTCTCTCAGTCAGTCACTTCCTTTCCACCCCTCACTGACACCACCCTAATTGGGACCTTTGTCACCATTCACCATATCCACAGAAGTCACTTAATAAACCTTTGCTGAATTAAACCAATGATTGCAGCAGCCTTCGAACTGGCCTGCCAGCCTCCAGCCTCTGCATCTCCTATCGATCCCACATGTAGCAACCTTTCCCACTTCAACACCACTGTTCATATGCTTCTGTACAATCTTCATTGATTTTATTGCCTACAAACTCCTTTTCTGGGAATCTAAGGTCTTCCTTAATTTGCCCTAGACTTGACTTTCTATTCTTATCTTGCCCTTTGCCCTCCCCTCCATTCATGCTCTGCTCCAGATTGTTTGGAACCCATCCCCAGAAAATCTCTGCCACAGACTTCTGTCCAGTGTTATGCTGGAGCCAGGTCATACTAGTTTACGAGATCTAACAGTTAAATTTTCAGAGTGAGTATTTACACCTCAGACATTGGAAAACCCTATAAATAGGGCTTGATGTATTGTTTTATTGGTTGTCTAAATTTAAGAAAGTGATGGAAAAAATGTTAATAATACTCATTAATCTTAAAAGTGTTGAGCTTATATCCCTCCCCCCACCCTGGAACTGCTTGTTAAATATTTGCCAGTACAGCCCTGCCTCTGTCCCTGTTCCTCTCCCTTAGCTATCCCCTGTTATATCTTCTCCCACATTTCTACACATAGAAATGTCTAAGTCCTGCATTTTCTTAAAAGCCCAGCTCCATCACTCCCAGTAACAATAATAATTCTATCTTACATCTCTATAATGTTTTAAAAGGTATAAACCACTTCTACATTATATACCATCTCTTTTCATCTTCATAACAATCCTGAAATGATAGGGGCAGGTATTATTATGCCCATTCTACAGATGAGGAAACTGAGATCCTGAAAAGCTAAGTGATTTACTCAAAGTCACACAGCTAGTAAGTGGCAGGGCCAAGTCCTTGGAATCTCAGTTCACTGACCCACACTCTCTTCCACTGAACTCCTAAATCACTTATAATCTATAATTAGCTTAGCACCCAATTATTTACTGTGCAATTTTTTGATGGCTTCATAGGATCACAGATAGAGATTTGGAAGAGACTTCAGAGGCCATCTCATACAAAGCCTTCATTTTATAGATGAGGAAATAGGCCTGGGGAGATAAATTGTCTTGCTTAAAGTCAATTGGCTAGTAAGCATCAGAAATAGGATGTACATGTCTGACCTACCTGGTTAGACTTTACACAAGCCTGGGACCCTGGTCCTGTCTCTACCACAGGCCTGGCATGGAGCAAGTCAAACAGTAGACATACAACTATTTGTTATTTGTTTATCGTAACGGAATTGAATGTTGTGTTCTGGTCTCCCAGCCAAGTACCTGACCATCTACTCCCTTTCATCTTGTCAATTAAACTCTTTTTTTTTAATTACCCAAAGTTGTTTTTATTAATTTATTTTTAGTTTTCAACAATCACTTTCATATGCTTTTGAGTTTTACATTTTTCTCTCCTGCCCTTACCCAAGATGGTATGCAGTCTGATATAGGCTCTACATATACATTCCTATTAAACATATTTTCACATCAGTCAGGTTGTAAGTAAGGATTAGAACCAATAGGAGGAACCACAAGAAAGAGGAAACAAAACAAAACAGAAGAAAAAAAAGAGCAAATAGTATGCTTCGATCTGCATTCAAACTCCATAGTTCTTTCTCTGGATGTGAATGGCATTTTCCATCATGAGGCCTTTGGAGATAGCTTAGATCCTTGCATTGCTGAGAAGGGCTAAGTCTATCAACGTTAGTCATCGAACAACGTGGCTGTTACTGTGTACAACGTTCTCCTGGTTCTGTTCACTTCACTCAGCATCAGTCCATACAAGTCTTTCCAGGCAACCAAACTCTTTACCAAGCATCTGGTCCTTGCTGTTACCACAGGCGAGAAGGAAGGGCAATTGAGCTGAGGGAGCAGGAAGGCAACAGTCGCTATCACTAACCCCAACAAAGAGCTCAGCCTCTACATCACCCTGAAGCTGCCTATAGACAGCACAGGAGAGCAGGATTGCCCAGGCCTTTAGGCTGGTGTTCTAAAACTGGTCCTCTTAGGATTAGACTGGAAGGAAGGCAAACCAGGAGAGACTCTTTTTTGTGGCAAAGGAGTATGGCTACAAGGGTATGGTTATCTAGGGGACTTTCCCTGAGTGCTCATGTTTATGCCACCCTGTATTATCTGTTCTACCTCAAGACACCCAGTGATGCGCTCATGGTGCCCAAGGTCTTGGCACAGTGTATGCCAAAGGTCTGGAGTAATGATGATTTTGTTGCTTATAAAGTCCTTCTCTAGATAATATTAATAGAAATTATTTGTAAAGCACTTAGTACAGTGCCTGGCACATAGAATGTGCTTAAAAATGCTTATTTCTTTATTTCCTACTTTGTTCCTCCCCTCCCTCCTTCCTTCCTTCCTTTCCCTCTCCCTTCCTTCTTCCCTTCCATTTCTTCCTCCCTTCGTTTCTTCCTTCCTACCTTTTTTCTTGGATGAGTTTGTGTCAGAAACTTTAAGGCTCTGACACTCAGTGAAATCTTATTGGGGAAGTGAAGGAGCATAAATCATCTTCTTAAATCAAAGGTTCTGGGAAGCCTTTCTCTCTCTCTCTCTCTCTCTCTCTCTCTCTCTCTCTCTCTCTCTCTCTGTATATATATATATACATATATATATATATATAGACACATATATATATATAAGAAGGAAACTGTTCAATTAGGAACAGTAATCAAAAAACATCCATCCCCAGATGTAATTGCTCAGAACTCCCCTTTCCTTTCATTTAGTCCTATTGATCTTCTGGCCTACTCAAAGATCCAGGCATTAATATCAGCTCCCAGGGTCCCAGAAGAGACTAGTATGAAAGGGCTGAGTGGTTGTTGGGCATCTTTATCTGGAGCTGTTTGGCCTTAAAGCTTGAGATGTGAGCTTTAAACAAAGTTAAGTCAGATGCTGCCCCATACTTAGGGAGGAAATGGATGGAACTTGTGACCCTAAGCCCTGGCTCAGGCTCAGACTGTCAATAACTTCTGAAAAAAAGTTTAGCTAAATTCTTAGATCACTGATCTATGATGGGTCCCTTGGGGAAGAGGAGAGCTTTGGGCTTGCCTTACCCTACAAAGTGATGGTAGGAGTACATGTAGAGGAGGCTTGGTGGTGCAGTGGATAGAGTGCTGGGCCAGGAGTCAAGAAGATTCATCTTCCTGAGTTCAAATCTGGCCTCAGACACTTACTAGCTGTGCAACCGTGGGCAGGTCATTTAATCCTGTTTATCTCAGTTTCTCCATCCGTGAAATGAACTGGAGGAGGAAATGGCAAACCACTCCAGTATCTCTGCCAAAAACAGCCCCAAATAAATAGACACGACTGAAAAAAACGACTGAACAACAACAGTAGGTGGCCATGGCCTCCTCATGGATGTCCCTCTTCAGAGCCCAAATCCTAGTTTGGGGGAAGCTAACTCAAGAGGGCAATGCCCTATTCTCAGCTGCTCCCCTGGCCCAGTCATCCCAGATCCTATGCCTTCATGAGACAAGGAGAATAATCTGGATTTTGCATCACAGAGACAACAATACAAAGACACACCTCTGTCACTTAGTATCTTTGTAACCTTGGGCAAGTCACTTTAGCTCCATGAGCCTCAGTTTCTTCATCTGTAAAATGAGGGAGCCAGACTAGATGACCTCTTAAGGTCCTTTCCAATTCCTTATGATCCTGTGAACTGACACTGGTTGTAATATACTTGCCTTAGGTTTGCAAAGCACTTCGTGAACATTAGCTCATTTGGTTTTCACAGCCCTGGAAGGTAAGTACCATAGTTATTATTATCATCCTTTTTTTGGCTAGGAAGAAAACTGAGCGTGAGGGAGGTTAAATAGCTTGCCAAGGATAATGTAGCCAAGTAAACATCTGAGGTGAGATTTGAACCCAAGTCTTCCTAACTCCAATTTAGTACACCAAGCCCTCTCCCCTCTACCATGCAATAATCTAGCAGGTCCCAAAGTGTGATCTGTGGACACCTGGGTGCCCTGAGACCCTTTCTAGGGGTCTACAAGGTCAAAACTATTTTCAATAATTCTAAGATATTATCTGCCTATTAAAATGCTCCTACCTTCTCCAACTACAAAAAATGTAGGAGGTAGGATTTTCTTTATATACTTAAACCAAATAACAACATATTGAGTTCAAAATCAGATATTGGGATCCATCTATCTTCTATTAAGACAGATATTAAAGAGATTTGGAAAAAAATAAATAAAACAATGTCATTCTCACTAATTTTTTTTAAATACAGGGTTTCCCCCCAATAAAATATTATTTATATTAACATGTAATAGGTATATTATTATTTTAAATTAATAAATATTTAAAGAATTTATCAGTTTTGATTTCTAATATGTTAAATACTGACATATATCCACATAAACAAAAGCTCTTTGGGGTCCTCAATAATTTTGGGGGATCCTGAGACCAAAAAGTTTGAAAACTGCTACACCAACCAAGGCAGCAGGCTTCTCAGAGTGCCTGCCAGCTACTTTGTATATATCTTTTACCTACTTAGTTGATTAAATGATGTCTCCTTCCAGTAGAATATAAAACTATGGGTTAAGTGTGCACCTGGCACACTAATGCATTGTTAGTGGAGTTGTAACTTAGTACAACCATTCTGGAAAGCAATTTGGAATTACGCAAATAAAGGGTATGGCCAAAATGCCCATACCCTTTAACCCAGAAATTCCACTTCTAGTCATTTACCACAAGATCACTGACAAAAAGAAAGGCTTCACATATCCTAAGATTTTTACAGCAGCACTCTTTGTGGTAGCAAAAGAAAGTAGACAGTCATTGATTGGGAAATGACTATATAAGCTGTAGTACATGAATAAAATGGTATATTTATGTGATAGAAGAAATGACAAATACAACAAATACAGAGAAGCATGGAATGATTTACATAAACTGATCCAGAGTGAAGTAAGCAGAGCCAAGAAAACAATATACACAAAGACTCTAACAATGTAAGTGGAAATAACCATAAGACAGTCAAAAAGGAATGTTGCAAAATTACTAAGAACAAGCTTTACCCCAATGAAAAGAAATGAGAAGAAACCTCCCTCTACCTCCTTTGCAGAGGTCAGAGGGGGGTGGTGTCCACAGATGTGGAACACTGTATAATTATCAGATTTTTTAAAATGGATTGATCAGTTTTTATTCTTTCTTCTTCCTCTTTTTCTTTAAAAAAAAATTCTTTGTTACAAGGGATGGCTCTCTAGAAGGAGAGAAGGAAGGGATATGGGGGAAATTTAGACAATGTAAAAATTACAAGTATCAATAGAAATATATTTTTAAAATAATATAAGTTCCTTGAGGGCAGGGACTGTGTTTTTGCCCTTCTTTGTCTCTCCAGTGCTTAGCACAGAGCTTGGTTCATAGCTAGTGCTTAATAGATGCTTGTGGACTTGATTTGACTTGAGGAAAATCCCTAGAAAATACTGGGCTTGTGCCACCAAGATCCAGGGGAGCAGGGCTAGGGGACATCATCACAGGAGGGCCTGGAAGAGGAGAAGATGTTAAGAGGGTGAGGAAGGAGAGTCTCAGAAACGGCCCCTCCCCTGCTCATCTCACTGCACCAATGGAGTGTCCTAGCCCCTCAAATGAATGAAATCACCCTACCCCCTTTTTGGGTAGTGGACTTGAGATTTCATTGACATAAGGAACTTCCAATGAGAAAACTCCATCTGCCCATGCAAATCAGCATCTTCTCTGGTGCTGGGCTGATTTTCCTGCCTCACCTCTTCCCATTTTAATCTACCTTTCACACAGTTCTTAAAGTGACTTTCCTAAAGTATAGGCCTGACCATGTCACTCCCCTACTCGGTAAACTACAAGGCCTCCCAATTGCTTCTATAATATATAACATATATAATATAATAAACTTATCTGTTTGGCTTTTCAGGCCCTTTGCAACAAACAGACCTTCCCAACCCTGTTATAGCAAGGCAGTTAGATGGCATAGTAGGTGGAGTACTGGACCTGGAGTTGGCAAGACCTCAGTTTGAATGTTCCCTAAGACACTTATTTACCTGTGTGAGACCCTGTCCAAGTCACTTAGCCACTATCTGCCAAATCTTCAAAATTAAGATAATAGCACCTACCTCCTAGGGTTGTTGTGAAGTATTAAAAATAATCCTTTTAAAGTGCTTTGCAAAACTCAAGGTACTATATAAATGCTTGCTATGATTATTATTATTGTTATTATCATAACATTTTTCTTTTTCCTCCATTCCGTGCTCTAGCCAATCTGGCCTTCTTGCTGTTCCTCACGAATAGCAACACTCAGACTTCCACCTCCATGCCTAGCTGTGCTCCATGCCTACAGGACTCTCACCTCTGCCTCTCAGAACATTTTTCCCCTTCAAAAAGTTACTTTCTACAGTTGTTCCTGATTCCCCAGCTGCTAGTGTCATCTCTGCCCTCAATTACTTTGTATATACTTTTTTTTCTTTTTTTTTTGGTGAGGCAATGGAGATTAAGTGACTCGCCCAGGGTCACACAGCTAGTACGTGTCAAGTGTTTGGTCTGAGGCCAGATTTGAACTCAGCTCCTCCTGACTCCAGGGCCAGTGCTCTGTCCACTGCACCACCTAGCTGCCCCTATATTTTCAATATACTAATAGTTGCACAAATCTTCTCCCTAAATAGAATGTAAGCTCTTTGAGGGTGGGTTCATTTGTGTCTGTATATACCCAATGCCCAATACAGTGCCTGGAACATCGCAGACACTTAATAATGTGTGCTGATTGATTGGCAGCTCAGAGTCAGGTGCCCAGAGCAGAGATGTCAAACTCCCACAGCCTAGCAAGTCACAAAACTCCCGATTAAAAATAATAAGAAAATGTTTAACAAAATAGATATAAATACAATATAACATAGATAATGTTAATTTGTGGTTTTCTAAGTCAGTAAGCCACCTGTAGAGATCTGTTTCTCATTGAATTTGACGCTACTGGAGAGCATCCAGAAGTTCAGTGACTTACTTGTACATGATCACACACAGTCAGTATATGCCAGAGGCAGAATTTGAACCCAGGTTTTCTTGACTCTGAGACTGGCTCTATTAGAGTTGTCCTGGAGTCAACTCATACTAGCTGGAGACAGTCGATTGTTAAATTTTTAGTGTGAGCTTTTACACCTCAAAAATGAGCAAAAATAGGGGCAGTTAGGTGGCGCAGTGGATAGAGCACCGGCCCTGAAGTCAGGAGGAACTGAGTTCAAATCCCGCCTCAGACCAAACGCTTGACACTTATTAGCTTTGTGACCCTGAGCAAGTCACTTAACCCCAATTGCCTTAAAAAAAAAAATCAGCAAAGGTTACAAATCCTGGCTTGAGTCATTGTTTTGTTAATTACCTAGACTTAAGAAAGTGATGGATAAGATGTCAATAATGCAGATTAAATTTAAAAGTGTTGTATTACATTTTCAGAGAGTTGGTTGTTAAATACTTATCAGCACAGCTCTGGCTCTATCTATTATGTCTGCCACAGCTGCCTTAACCAACTTAAGGAACCATATTTCAGGGCCCAACTGGGTAAGCCTTGGAGGTAGGAAAATGCTTTGTAATTGGCATTAAGTAGATTACCAGTTCCTCACTCGAAAACAACAGAACACGGTGTACCCTCAGACCATACTGTATAGAATTTCATTTTTCTGTGATGATCCAGAAGGTACTTTGGATATGATGGGCCCTCAGGGTCATCATTCATTAATTTTTTTTTAATTTTTAGCATTGTGCTTTACAGCAGACAGGTGCCAGAGGCAATAAAAAATTTAGATAAGAAACAATCACTTTCTGTTACGGAGTTAGGGGAAAGGGACTTTGCTTGTGATTTCTTTGGTATAGAGAAAGCCCAGAAGGGGAAACTCCCTCTACCAATGCAGGCCGAGCACTTTGTCTGAAATGTATAGTCTAAGAGTGCTGCTCTAGGTCACACAGCCAGTACGCATCCTGGCTAGATCTGAACTTGTATCTTCCTGGCTTCAAGGTCAGCTTACTATCCACTGTACCACCCTGCCTCACTAGTTATGGGGGCAATCAGATACAAACTGAGGTTGATGACACACAAAATTACCTGAGAGGGACCTCAGAAAGGAGCAAAACCATGTGCCATGTTTTTATCCACTGGGGGAGTGATCAAGGAAGCCTTCCTAGAGGAAGCAGGATGTTAAAGGATTAGGTAGGGACTCAATAGGTAAAGACGAGGGTGAGGGAGGGCATTGGAGATGTAGGGAGCAACATAAGTGAAAATACTGATGTGGAAGGGTATCAGACACATTTGTGGGGCAGGTGGAGAGACAGGAAGAGAAACAGGAGAGCGTGCTGTCTGATGGAGAGGGCAGAGAAAAGGCAGAACAGGGGGAATGCTCAATAGAGTCAAAGCCACAGAGAGATCAGGGAGGACGAGAATTGGAAGGACAACCAAAGGCCATTCTCTCTGAGAGTTCTCTCTGACCGCTGAGCCTCCTGTATCCTTGGGAAACACCTTCTCTCCCCTTCCCACCCCGCCCCCTTCCATCCCCAGTTATAGTACAGCACCTCATCTTTTTCTTTTTTTTTTTCCATGACGGGACTCTGCCTAGAGGTGAGGGGCAGGCCTTGGGAACGTCTGGACACTAACCCTTTCCCACTCTCCAACCCAAGCTGCACCCACCCCTTTCACCTCCATCACTGCCAGGGTGGTACTGAATGACATAATCAGGGAAAATATATAGTCAACTTTTTTTTTTCCATTTCGTACATATGACTTTATTTGGGTGTAGAGAATTCTCATGGGGATGAACGTGGAAACACAAAAGTAACTCCAGGCCTAATCCCAAAGGAGGAAGGTGATGAGGGTGAAGGGGCTGCCACAGAATGGAAGAAGGGAAGGCTGGAGGGGGCAGGTAGGGCCCACGCATTACCTGTCTTTTACCCAGTTGGAAGAGGATATAGAGTCAGGAGGAAGCTGGAATGGGTCCTCTCAACTGTTGCAAAGAGCTTCCTGCTATCAGTAAGGCCCTGGGCCTTCAAAGTTCCTGGTTCTGTAACTGCTCCCCCAAACTCCTGCCCTACCACTCCTTCCTGTTGCCAAGGGGGCACCATGCCTGTTTCCTCCAGGGAGTCCTCCCAAACAAATCAGAGGACCTCCTTCCTCCATCAAGCCTGTACATAATAAGGTTTTACACACACACACACACACACACACACACACACACACACACACACCCTATTGTTTATGGATTGTCAGAACTGGAAATGACCTTAGAACACAGAATGTTAGTATTATTGGGAAGGGAAGAAACTTAGAACATAAAACAGAATGTCAGTGTTGAAAAGGACTTTAGATGAGAACATAAAACATCAGAGGTGAAACGGACCTTAGAACATGGGATGTCCAGGGCTGGGAGGGGCCTTAGAAACAGAACATCAGAGCTGGAGGGGCCCCTAGAACAAAGTAGCCACCTGGGAAGGAACCAAAGAGACCTAGTTCAATACTGTCATTTTACAGAAAAGGTGCTGGCAGAAGAAAGGTAGAACTGCCTTCAGAATGTCTCCTGAGAACTGGGGGAAGGAAAATGCTCTGGCTTCCTGGGGGGTGAGGGAAGAGGGAGTGACTCAGGAGTGGAGGACTTAGAGCCCCAAGAACATTCTAGATTCCTGATTCATCCCTGAATGATTTCAGTGAGGTCCTTTGGGCATATCTATAACTTCACTCCCCAGGACCAGGATTCAGGATCTGTCTTAAAGGGAAAGCCACCTTTGTCCCAGTGGCCCAATCACAGCCAGGGTGCTGGCCAGAACAAGGACAGAAAGCAGTAGGCAGGGGTCTCGAGCCCTCCTTGGCTCTGGCTTCTCATTAAAATGTTGCTCCTTCTCCATTAGCATCACACTTTTCTCCCTCTTGCAGTCAGCAGGGGGGCTGGCCTTCATTTCCCTGGGATGGAACGCTGTTATTTGAGAAAGTCCCCACAATAAGATAAATGTCAGCATTTCAATGAGAGCCCCTACAGTGAGGGCACAGGTCTGTCTGCCTGAAAATAGACTGGATGCTGGCTGGAGAGGATGGGGAGAACCTGTCCTGAGCCATCTGGGCCTTACCACCTTAGGAGCTGGGTGGTGGGGTGAACAAGAGGGATGGGGTGAACAAGAGGGATGGGGCTCATGCGGGTACAGCCCATTGGGCAAGTCTATCGATTTGTCTGCCTTCAACCTGGTTCCCTGGGCTTTCCCTGAAGCTTTCTCACCTATGCTCCCTCTTTCTATAACTTGGCCTGGTCTGTGGCTCCCCTGGCCTCATGCAGGACTCAGGTCAGATCCCATACTTTCTGCAAGAAGCCTTTCCTGGTTTCCCCTGCTGCATTCCTGAACTTTTTGTGCTGTCTCTCTGAGATTACCTCCAAGTTATACTATATGTGTGTGTATATAAATATATATATGTATATATATAGTATGTGTATGTGTGTATAAGCACACACATATGCAATATATACACAATATGTACATTATGTGTGTATATATATATATACACACATACACATATACATGTGCAAATTATTTATATATTTATGTTGTGTACCCCTTTGGCAGTCTGGTAAAGCCAATGGACCCCTTCTCAAAATAATATTTTTAAATTATTACAATAAAATACAAGGATTTCAAAGGAAACCAGTATTTCAATATTGAAATAGTTGTGAGGTTTTTTTTAAGTTCATAAACACAAGGGTAAAAACCCCTGGACTAAGTAAATCTTTAGGCTCTTTTCCAGCTCTAACTTTTTATGAATCTGTGATTCCTTGACAGTGATGACATATAAATATATGTCTGTTTATGTATCTATCTATTTATCTATCTATATCTTCTCTCTTTTAGAGGGCAGGTAGGTAGCCCAGCGTATAGAATACCAGGCCTGGAGTCAGGAAGACATCCTGAGTTCAAATCTGGCCTCAGATGCTTACTAGCATCTCTTTGTGTGACTCTGGGCAAGTCACTTAACCCTGTTTGCCTCCGTTTCTTCATCTGTAAAATGAGCTGGAGAAGGAAATGGCAAACCACTCCAGGATCTTTGCCAAGAACACCCCAGATGGGGTCACAAAGAGTCGTACATAATTCAAACGACTGAACAACCCCTCTATGTCTTGTTTGTACTGAGCTGTTTGCACATTGTCTCCCGAATTAGACTGTGAGCTTCTTGAGGGCAGAGGCTGTTTTTGCGTTTCTTTGTATCCCCAGCACTTAGAGACATACAGTAGGCACTTAATAAATGCTTATTGACTGATTCTAATGACAGAGGACCTGAGCTGGGTATTTTGATGCCCTCTTCCTCCTCTGACTTCTCCATCAAAATTCCCCTCTTCCTTCACACTTCTCCTCCTAAGTGCCTCTTATACTAGCATCGCCTGCAAGGAATCACAGATTCATAAAAAGTTAGAGCTGGAAAAGATCCTAAAGATTATTTAGTCCAGGGATTTTTACCCTCCCTTCTGTCAACTTGTTTTTATTTCCAAACTTTTACAGTGCTATTGGTTTCCTTTTAATCCTTATATTTTATTTTATTCATTTAAAAGCATTATTCTGAAGACAGCCCATTGCAGAAGCTTGAGGGAAACCACACGGATGAAAATCCAGCAAAGATACCTGAGAAGGAGTGGGCAGAGACGCAGGAGGATAACTAAGTGAGAGAAGTAACAAAAACCCAGAGAAGAGAAAGTATCCAGCAGGTGGTCAAGAGTATCAAAGGCTACAGAGGGGTCTCCATCATCATTAGTCACCCAGCTTTAGAGTTTCAGTATCATCTGTGATCCCTCTCATCCCATATGTCCAATCCATTGCCAAATCGTGTTGTTTCTATCTTCACGTCTCTCATAATGTTGCCTTGTCTCTATTCATACAACCACAACCCTGGTTCAGACCCTGATCGCCTTTTGTAATGGACCACTGCAATAACTTGCAATAACTGATGAGAAAACAAGTTAAAATAAAAACATTATTCTGGGAAGGGGTTCATTGGCTTCACCAGACTGCCAAAGGGGTCCACAACACAAAAAAGTCAATCAATAACCAATCAATTAACAAACGTTTATTAAGCATTTACTATGTGCCAGATACTGCGTTAAGTGCTGGGGATACAAAAAGAGGCAAAAGACAGTCTCTGCCCTCAAAGAGCTTACAATCCAATGGAGAAACTTAAAAAAGTTAAGAACCACTGATGGATTCCAAAATCCCCAATTTACACGTGGAGAAACCAAGGCTCAGAATGGAGAAGAGACTATTCCACAGCTGATTAGCACAGAGTCCTACACATAATAAATAGGTGCTTAATTAGTATCTGCTAAATGGAATTGAATGTTTGTAGAAGTGGAAGAGCTGGGTCTCAGGATCTCAGGTTCATGGAATTTAGAGTTTTAAAGGCTTGTAGAGATAATCTAGTCCAGACTCATTACCCAACACGGGTGGGGGACCTGTGGCCTTGAGGGCACGTGTGGCCTTCTAGGTCCTCGGGTGCAGCCTTTGGACTGAGTCCAAGTTTTACAGGGCAAATCCTTTTATTAAGGGGATTTGTTCTGGGAAGTTTGGATTCAGTCAGAGGGCCGCACTTGAGGACTTAGAGGGCCACAAGTGACCTCAAGGCTGCAGGTTCCCCACCCCTGAACCAGAAGAACACAGTCTCAGAAAGAACTTGTGTCTAACTAAGCTCAAACCTGGTCTCCTTGTTAGGTCCAGGGCTCTTTTTACTCCAGCAAAGCATCATGGGAGCATAGGCTTGGGAGTGGACAAGGGCCTTATGGATAACTGCCTCCATTTATAGAGGAAACTAATGGCCAGAGGAGAGGTCTGACGCTTTGCCCAACATCACATAATATGTAGCAGAAGTGGAATTTGAATCCAGATCCTGACTCCACAGAATCTGCCCTCTGTTGCTATCAGCGAGGAACCAGATACCCCTTTCCTTCAAAACTGCAGGATTCAGGATCGTCTTCCCCTTACTTGGCCCCAGGCCCGGGCCTTTTCTTCCCACAGCATTTATTTTGGCCAGGAGTGAAGGGTGGAGGGTGAAGGGGAGGGAAAGATCTGTTGCCCCATCCCTACAAGGCCCTGAACATTCTGCAACTGCACATGCCATGTCCCTCCCTTTCCCTTCCCCCATTCCTGGAACAAAACCCACGTCAATTTCAAGAGCATCACCAGGTTCAAGGGCAGCATCCAAGCCGGGCTGCTGACCTATTGTGATGGAATCTAAGCTGGGCTATTTTGGACATAGGAACATGGATGCTCGGGGAGGCTCCGGAGTGGGGCCACCCGGAGGGGACAGGAATGACTGAAGGCAATGTGGGTCAGAGATAGGTCAACTTAGTCAAACCAACCTCCCCTAGGGGGTGCGGGAAAGAGGACAGGGGGCCGGATATAGGCTTTGGCAGAGCACGAGTCTGACCCAAAGGTCATTAGATGTCACGGCATCGCTGGGCCCAGCTGAAGTCCCACTTTCTTCATCAAGTCATGCCAGATCGCTTCAGCTTCCGCTGAACTCTTCCTTTTCCAAACACCTATTGCTCTTAAAGCTGGCCCCGAATATACTAATGGCCACTGTGATGTCCACTAATTTGATTCATGAATGAATGAATGAAAAGGCACTCATTAAGTGCTTATGATGTACTGAGCACAATGCTAAGCCTGGGGACACAAAAAGAAAAGCAAAGTACAATGGAAGGAGAGTTGGACAGCAGATCTGTCTGTCACTAATTAGCTGCAAGACCTTAGGCCAGTCCCTTTCTCTCTCTGGGGACTCAGTTTCTCTCCTTGTAAAATGAGGGGACTTAGATTGGCTGGTCTCTAGGATTCCTCCCAGTTCCAACATTTGGTGATTACATATGTGTTAGTTTCATGTCCCAGGCCAGACAGTAATCACCCTGAAAGCAGGGACCTGTGTGCCCTGCTGTAGCTAAACCCAATTTTTACAATGACTTGATTACATGACTGAGAGATGACACAGCATCTTCCTGGACCAAATGTCCCCTGGCATAGTTTGTGATGCTTGCCCCTGGCATGAAAACTCCTACTCTGAGTCCCTTAACCTTTCAGTGCTCTCAGCAGCTTTCTAAAACGTTGAGTCATAGATGAATGGAGGGGGTTTCCACACTAGGAGTCTCCTATACAGCTGAAATAACAGCCCTTTCATACAAGAGCAGCCAGGTATGGTGGAACATGTCTGAAATTCCTGATGCTGGTGGAGTTCTTGAGCTTGGGAGCTCTGAGTTACAGTAGGCTAAGCCAACCAGGCAGCCAAACTAAGATATTAATATAATTAACTCCAGGAAGGACTAGCAGACTGCCAAAGGAGGGGCAAGCTGGCTCCATTTAGAAAACAGCAGATCAAAGCTTCTGTGCTAATCAGAGTGGGACCTAGCCATGAACTCCTGTACAGGGCAAGATAGGAAGACCTATCTTTAGGTCTTTAGGCATACAGACACGGATGGACGGATGAACGGACCGATGGATGGGTGGACAAAAAGACAGACAGATGGATGGACAGATGGAAGAATGGAAGGACAGAGAGATAGATACATAGATATATGGATGGATGGATCTAGTCTAACAACAAGCAAATATGTACAAACAAGCTATATATAGGATAAATAGGAAATACTTAACTGAGGGAAGGCACTAGAATTAAGAGGGGTTGGTTAAAGCTTCCAGTAGACCATGGGATTTTAGATTGGGACTTGAAGGAAGCCAGAGAAGATAGGAAGCAGAGATGAAGAGAGAATATTCCAGATATGGGGGACAGCCAGAGAAAATGCCCAGAGCTTAGAGATGGAGGGTCCAACCCTCTTATTTTATAGAAGAGGAAACTGAAGACTGAGTCCATTATAGGTACAGAAGAAAACATGTGGAGGGCACTCTGAATAACCCAATTTGGTTGGCCTATGGAATTCAAGTAGGACTGTGGTGGGACACAGAGAGAGAGAGAGAGAGAGAGACAGGGGTGTGGTGGAGCCAGGCCCAACTGTCTTGTGGCTAATCATTAAATTTTCAGAGTGAGCATTTACACATCAGAAATTTGCCACTGCTCCCTACCAGAGTTTGATTGTTCTGTTAATAGTGCAGACCTAAGAAAGTGTTAATAATTCAGATTAAACATAAAAGCATGCGTGCATACATATCAACACCACCTCCCCCTTCCCCCCTCACTAGGACTCTATAAACATTGCTTGAGCTCAGGGAATGAAGTCATCACTAGACTGGAGGCTAATAATAACAATAATAACTGGCATTTATATAGTGCTTTAAAGTTTGCAAAGTGCTTTACATCATTCAATACCTCATTTGAGTCTTACAAGGCCTCTGGACGGACTGTAGTCAAGGAGGAAGCATTGAAGGTTTAGGAGGAGAAGAGGGACGTCAAGGTAGTGTATGAACATTTTATTCAAGCAGCAGAGTGAAAAATGAGTGGTGTGGGAGGGGAAGGACTGGAGTTAGGAGGCTACTAGGATAGCCTAGGTGAGAAGAGCCATAGGGAACACTCACAGTTAAGAGAGTAATGACGTGGCTCATGAACCATCAAAGAAGACTGAGGAGAGAGGTCAGAGAGGTAGGAGGAGAGCCAGGAGAGACTAGTGTCACTAGAAACTAGAGAGTTATTTAGAAGCAGAAGGTGATCAACAGCATTGAATGCTGCAGAGAGGTCAAGAAGGGGTAGGATTAAGAAAAGACCATTTGATTTGGCAGTTCAGAAAGAACAATTTCAGATAAATGAGGAGATTGAAGAAGACTGAGAAGATAATGAGAGAGTAAAAGCACATAGTATAGACCCCTTTCTCAAAGCATTACACTGCAAAGGGGAGGAGGAATAAAAGATGAGAGCAATGAAAGATGGTCAGATTAAGTGAGGGCTTTTTTTAAGGTTAGGGAAGACATGGGCATGTTTGTTGGAAGCAAGGAGGGAGCTAGTCAAAAGAGAAAGATTGAAAATGAAAGATAAAGTGGGGATAAAAAAGAGGGCAATCTGCAGGAGAAGACAGGAGGGTTGGAGTGCATGTGGGGGGGTTGGCCTTGGTGAGAAGAAGAAACACCTCTTCATCTAATATAGGAGTGAAGGTAAGAATGGGGGAAAGTCTGAGAAATGTGAGTTAGGGAAGAGTAACAGAAAGATATTGTTGTTCAGTTGTTTCAGTCGTGTCCAACTCTTTGTGACCCCCTTTGGTGTTTTCTTGGTAAAGATATTGGAGTGGTTTGCCATTTCCTCTCCAACTCATTTGACAGACTAGGAAACTGAGGCAAACAGGGTGAAGTGACTTGTCCAGGGTCACACAGTTAGAAAGTGTCAGAGGGTGGATTTCAACTCCAGTCTTCCTGACTCCAGGCTTGGTATTCTATCCACTGCACCACCTATCTGCCCTAACAAGAGGGAGATCCCACCAAATGGCCTCAATTTTTTTCAGTGAGGTCCTCACTGAGAAGATTAGAAGAGGAGGCTAGAGGAAAGATGGGAGGTTTGGAACAATTATTGTGGAGAGCAAGATAGTGAATTAATCAGGGAAGGATAGAATGATTGCCTTGCTGTGGTGAGGGCCCAGTTGAGATAACATAAATTTGTACTGGGTTCAATCAGCACATTTTCATTATTTCCTTCATCACTGTTCAGCAGCTTCTGAATAGGAGCAAAGAAGGAAGATACTGGGAGTATTCTGGGTTTGGGGTTCGGGAGATAATGTGATTAACTTTAGTGCAAGGGGGTAGGGGTAGAGGACAGTATAAAAATGAAGTGTTTTTCCAAGGAATCAAGATAAGGAAGGGAAGAGAGTGTAGTTGCTGGGTAAATTTTTTCGGCTCCTCCAACCTAGTCCTTTTTTTTTTCTCTTATTTTCTACCATTGGGCTTTTTAGGAGGCTGTTATTTTCTTCTTATTCCTAACCTCTTTTTACTCAATCTGTCTTTCCTTTTAAATTGGCCCCTTG